CCATTGGTTATGCATATAAGTTCTTTGGTTTATTTCTTCCCACTCCCCCAACCCCTTTCCCTTTGAGGTTTGTCAGTCTAGCAATGAATTTGTGCTTCTTAATCCCTTCACCTTTTTCACCCATTCCCCCAACCCCCTTCCCAACTGGCAACCAACAAAATGTTCTCTGTATCTATGAGAATGTTTCTGTTCTACCTGTTCATTTTGTTTGTAGATTCCATTGTTGATAGATATGTATTCATTGCCATTTGTTTGTTCATACATTTTATCTTTTTCTTCAAAAAGACCCTTCATCATTTCATATAATAACGGTTTGGTGGTGATGAACTCCTTTAACTTTTTATTGTCTGGGAAACTCTTTATATGGCCATCAATTCTAAATGACAGCTTTGCAGGATAGAGTAATTTTGGTTGTAGGTTCTTGCTTTTCATCACTCTGAATATTTCTTGCCACTCCCTTCTGGCCTGCAAAGTTTCTTTGAGAAATCAGCTGACAGCCTAATGGGTACTCCCTTGTAGGTAACTAGCTGCCTTTCTCTTGCTGCTTTTAAGATTCTCTCTTTGTCTTGAACCTTTTGCATTTTGATGATGATGTGTATTGGTGTGTGCCTCTTGGGGTTCATCTTGTTTGGGACTCTCCGTGCTTCCTGGGCCTGTATGTCTGTTTCCTTCACCAAGTTAGGAAAGTTTTCTGCCATTATTGTTTCAAACAGGTTTTCGATTTCTTGTTCTCTCTCTTCTCCTTCTAGCACCCCCAAGATGCGAATGTTGGCACGCTTGAAGTTGTCCCAGAGGCTCCTTACACTATCCTCATTTTTTTGGATTATTTTTTCTTTTTGCTGTTCTGATTGGGGATTTTTTGCTTCCTTATATTCCAAATCGATGGTTTGCTCCTTGGATTTACATACTCTATTATTGAAGCTGTGTAAATTATTCTTTATTTCAGTTAATGCCTCCTTTAATTCTAACTGTGTATCCATGATTTCTAACTGGTCCTTTTTTATGCTCTTGAGGCCCTAAGTTCACTGAGGTTCTCACTAAGTTCATTGAGCATCCTTATGAGCAGTATTTTGAACTCAGTATCTGTTAGGTTGCTTATCTCCCTTTCGCTTAGTTCTTTTATTGGGGTTTTGTTCTGCTCTTTCATTTAGGACCTGTTTCTTTGTATCCTCATTTTGGCTGCCTCCCTGTGTTTGTTTCAGTGTATTACTTAATGAGAGGTATGGGGCTCGCTGAGACCCGGTGCTGCTCGTTTGAAAGAATTTAGGAAAAACCTGAAGCAGAATCCAAGACCGGCCAATCCTATGGTTAAGCAAGTGGCAACTGCTTGGGTGGGCTTGAAAGTTGTGTGGGGTGGGGCGGGGCCTCAGGGAGTCACCAGGGCGGGACTACCAGTGTGAGCCAGGTTGCTGGAGTCCCAGATATGGCTTCTGTCTGCTGCCCCCAGGAAGGGCTCACCAAAGGAACAAAGGCCTCTTACAGCACGTTTGTCCCCAAGGAAGCCCCCTCTCCAGCCCTCGCTCCAGTGCCAAACAGCTCAGTTCTTCCCTGTATGTCTCTGGTGCCCCTCGAGCTGCCTCCCCTCCAAGCTTAGAGGGAGTGAGTCCGATAAGTCCATGCGCGGGCCCTTTAGGGAGCTGCCTGGGGCTCCAGCCGCTTCAGCCTCCCTGAGCCTCAGTTCCTGCTGGTTTTTCCAGCCAGAAGTGATGGGGATTCTCTTCCTGGCACTGGAACCCTGAGAGGGCACCTGGTGTGGGACGGGGACCCCTCAGTCCTCAGGAAGGACCTTCCCAGCCACGGGAGCCTCCTGATTTTTATCCACCACGCTTGGGTGTGGGACCAGCCCGTCTCGCCGCAGCGCGCCGCCGCCACCCCTAGCGCCACCGCGCCGCCCGTCCTACCAGTCTGGATGTAGCTGCTTTTTTTTTTTTAATTCCGTAGTTGTACGACTTCCATTCAGCTTGATTTCAGGCGGTTTTGAATGATGGTTGTTCTGTAGTTTAGTTGTACCTTTGATGTGGTTGTGGGAGGACGCGATACCGCGTTTACCTACCCGCCATCTTGACCGGAAGTCCTTCAGGCGGTTTTGAATGATGGTTGTTCTGTAGTTTAGTTATCTTTTTTTTTCTATCCTCACCTGAGGACATTTTTTCTTTTTTCGTTCAGATAGAGCAGGAGGAAGAGAGAGAGAGAAACATCCACGTGAAAGGGACACATCGACTGGCTGCCACCCGACCGACCAACCAGGGCTGGGGACAAACTGCAACCGAGGCACGTGCCCTTAGTGGGAACCGAACCCGGGCCTCTCTGGATCGCAGGCCGATGCTCTAACCGCTGAGCCAAACCGGCCAGGGCTAGTGGTAACTGTGATGTGGTTGTGGGAGGAGGCAGTACCGTGTCTACCTACCCACCATCTTGACCGGAAATCCCTGGGAGTCGTTCTTGATGCCTCTTTCTCTCGTACATTTCTCATCCAATTCTTCAGCAAATCCTCTGGGCGCTACACAACGTGTAGAAACTCACCATCTCTCCCCACCTCCACCTTCCTGACCAAAGATACCATCATCTGTCTATTCGATTATTGTAATAGTCTTCTATATCGGATGTTTCTGGTAGCCCATGTCACGTGTCTCTCGGCCATCTCTGACTTCAGCTCCAGCTGCAGCAGGCAGTTGTGGGTGAGCTCAGCTGATTTTGCACCAGTAGTGTTTTCCCTCAAGTGTGCACCTTATGTCCATTTGCTTCCTGCCCTGGACTTCAGTGCTGCTGGGCCCTCTTGACTCCAGCACTAAATTCACCTGTGCTGACAGCCTCATGCCTCAAGTGTGAGCTGCAAGTCTCTCTACTTTCAGTCCCATTGAATCTCGATGCGATTGGAGCCTGCTCTACCCAGGCACCCAGATGTGCAGAGTTAACACCCCAGGGGCAACCTTTAACCAGTGGGGTTAGAGGCAACTGGGGAAACATTCCTGCCTCCTATCCTTCAGGTGGGTGGTTCTGGGGAACGGCCTGTGTATTGTTCAAGGACCCTGGTAAACCTGAGCTCCTGATGCCCACAGCAGCAACACTGATAATGCACCCTAATGTTGATTTTTTCTTCTTTCCTGTCTCAGTGTCCTCAATCCTTCGTGCCTACTCTTTGGGTCATCTCTCAGAAAAGCCATGGGGACATATGTCCTTATCTCAGTCTCTGCTTTCAAGGAAACCCAAGTTAAAATACGTTTTCAATTTATTTCCCTTGCTACTCAGAAGCAGACTGATTTTTAAAAATCCTCACCAGAGGATATTTTTCTATTTAATTTCAGATACAGTGAGAGGGAGAGAGAGAGATTGAGAAACATTGATGTGAGAGAAACACGTCAACTGTCCGCCTCCTGCATGACCCTGACCAGGGCTGGGGCCCAAACCGCAACCGAGGTACCTGACCTTGACCAGAATTGAACCCTCAACTCTTTGGTTCGCGGGTCAACACTCTAACCGCTGAGCCAAACTGGCCAGGGCCAGACTGACCTTTTTAAAACATGTGTGATCATATCCCTCCTCAGCTGAAAACCCTCCAGTGACTCTCATTTCCCCTAAAGGAAAAGCCAAAGTCCTTACAATGGCTGACAAGGCCTGACAGAACCCACTCTTCCCACTATTTCCTCTCTGATATGTTCTGCTAATCTTTCCTTTGCTCTCCTCTGGTCACACTGATTGATCTTCATAGACACCCAGCACACTCCTGCCTCAGGGCCTTTGCAGTGGCTATTCCAACTGCCTAGAATGTTCTTCCTACTCCCAGATATTTCCAAACACGCTCTTCACTTCCTTCAGGATTCTTCTCAAACACTTCTCAGAGAGGCCTCCACTTCCCTGCTGTTCCCTGGGCCCCTCACCCTGTTTTCATAGCACTGAACACTAATATCATAACTTGTCTTTTTCATTTTTTGGCATATTTTCTGTCTCTTCCCCAATTTGAATGTAATTTCCATAAGGTCAGGGACTATGGGACTTTATTGTTTTTATTACAGAACCTAGAACAGTGCTTGGCAAGTAGTAAGTGCTCAATAAATATTTGTTGGATGAAGCAATTAAATAAGACTGAAGAAATGTGTATGGATCAGACTATGGTTACTTTGAACCCTCAGCTCCTGAGTCTGGCAGTGAGCGTGGTGGCAGCTCTCGGCTATGAGGGGCCCCGAAGGCCAGCCACAGGACGAGTCTGCAGAGAATTCATCCCATGCTTTGCCCTCTAAGGCTGCTCCTGGTTGACGGTCTCCTTGGGGGTCAATGCCCTGAAATTTGTCTCAAAGGCCCTGGCCAGTGTTGCTCAGTTGGTTGGGTGTTGTTCCATGCATCAAAAGGTTGCTGGTTTGATTCCCAGCCAGGGCACATGCATGGGTTGCGGCAATCCCTGGTAGGGGGATGTTTCACATTGATGTTTCTCTCTCTCTCCTTAAAAACAAACAAACAAACAAACAAACAAACAAACAAACAAAAACCAATAAAAATATTGTAAAAAAAACTGTCTCAAGGAATCCTGGGTAAAAATCTCAGAGACCCAAAGCATTTAGGAGAAGAAAACCTCTGTGAGTCTAGTCCATGCTGATCCCATGCAGATGGGAGTTTATCCCCTTCCAGGCACTGAGACTCTGGCCATCACCAGCATAGAGTGTACTGTCACCTCTGAGTGTCCGTCAAAGGCTCAGCACCCAACAACTCCTCGGCTTCTTCGGAAGGACACCGGCAGTCTCACCAGCAAGATGGTTAGAATCCATGGGGTTCTAGGAAGGGGCTGAGGGTGACCTGCGGGGCAGGCATGCTGTGGTCCAAGCCTTCCATTCCCTAGCTCTGTGAACAGTCATACTGTCCCCTCCAGGTGGCCCAGACACCCCGGCCTGGGGTTAGGGGACAGTCCAGGCTCTGTCTTTCCTCTGGTGGGAGGTAGCCTCACATGAAGCAGGCAGCACCCCGGGTGAGCACAGGAGGCACAGCCCAAAGCCAGTGGGAAGCCGGTCCCTCCAGGCTTCCCCAGGGCCCCTGGCTCCGCAGGCAGGCAGAAGTGGGAGCTGCAGTGCGGGACTGAAGAGGTTAATGTTCATCTGCTTCCGAATGTTAATGTGTCTAGGTGATGTCAGTGGGAACCAGGAAGGAGGGAGTGGGAAGCGCATCGGGCTTGGAGGCAGCAGAGGCTGCCAGCTGCCCAGGCAGACCCCTTTCGGGACTGCAGGGTCGCGCTCCAGGACAGGGCGCGCGGGCGCAGGAGGCTGCCGCAGCCTGCGTGGGCGGGCGGGCCAGCAGGCGACAGGCTCTGGCAGGATGGACCTGGAAGCCTTGCTGCTGACCACTGGCCCCAATGCCAGCAACACCTCGGATAGCCCGGATAACCTCACCTCGGCCGGTGAGTAGTGTCAGAGTGGAGCCTCCCTCCTCAGCGCTGGGGGTGGGGAAGGGGAAGGTTTCACCTCTGAGCCAAACTGCTTGGGAAACTTTATTACAGTTCTTTATTACAAGATCCGCAGTCTGCCTTGCTCGGAGGGCAAGGGGAGAAGGGGCGGGGCAGGCAGAAGGGGCTGGCAGGGGCTGGTGGCCAGCAGCGAGTTCCAAATATGCTTTGCAGGAAAAATTCCAGGCTGGAAAAGCTAGCAAGAGAAGCTGGAGGATAGTATGTGGGGAGGCAGCTGGAGGCTCCCTCATTCACCAATCCCCTTGGCTTTTTACTCCAACTAGAGTAATGGGGTCTGAACCATCTTGACTGCCCCCTGGGAAAGGGTGTGGGAAGGGGTAACTCACAGGGATTAACTTTACTGGTGAATGAAGCAGCCTGACATTTCCAGAACTGAGATGCTTTGGAATTCTAGCTTTGAGGGAGAAAGGGAAGGAAGGAAAAAGGAAAGGTTTGTGTGAAGAAAATTCTCAGGCAGTTGGTCTGCAACACACCGTTTCAGTTTCTGCTTCCCCAGGAAGCTCAGGCTCAGAATATAGGGGCCAAGGAAATCCCTGATTAGGTCCCAGGGGAAGGGAAGGCTGTGGGCCTGATGGGCAGAAGCCTTCACAAGACAGTCACCCACAGAGATGCCCCAGAATCAGTGCACAGCTCCAACCAGCGATTTCTAAAATGAAATGGTCAGGGCTGCAAATAGGAAAAGAGAAAGTACATGCGCACGCACACACATACACATGCACACTTTCATGTCCTTCTGACCGTTTTGCTGAGCGTTCCTGGTGAAGCCCGGGGCTCACAGAATAATTCTGTGCAGCCAGCTGTGGTTGTTGACTGTGTGTCTTCTGAAACAATGCAGGAGGCAAAGGACTGGGTCCTTCAACTAACAGGTGGCGTATTAGAATCTAGTGGGATTGACCATGAAACTGGTGGAGGAGGGCAAGGGGACAGGATGGGGGAGCAACAGTGTGGGGAGAGAGACTGGTAAGATAGAACTCTAGATGAACGGTGGGCCCTGAGCTGGAGTGACAGGGAGGATGAAGGGGCAAGCAAGCATGTCGCTGGAGGCTGAGCGCGCCAGTAGGATGTCAGCATTTAGAGAGCAGGATCCATGTCTAGTGATCGGCACTTGCACCTTCTGTCCCCAGGGTCGCCTCCTCGCACAGGCGGTGTCTCCTACATCAACATCATCATGCCTTCGGTGTTTGGCACCATCTGCCTCCTGGGTATCGTGGGGAACTCCACCGTCATCTTCGCGGTGGTGAAGAAGTCCAAGCTGCGCTGGTGCAGCAACGTCCCGGACATCTTCATCATCAACCTCTCAGTGGTGGACCTGCTCTTTCTCCTGGGTATGCCCTTCATGATCCACCAGCTCATGGGCAATGGCGTCTGGCACTTTGGAGAGACCATGTGCACCCTCATCACGGCCATGGACGCCAACAGCCAGTTCACCAGCACCTACATCCTGACTGCCATGGCCATCGACCGCTACCTGGCCACCGTCCACCCTATCTCCTCCACCAAGTTCCGGAAGCCTTCTGTGGCCACCCTGGTGATTTGCCTCCTGTGGGCCCTCTCCTTCATCAGCATAACCCCTGTGTGGCTCTATGCCAGGCTCATCCCCTTCCCAGGGGGCACAGTGGGCTGTGGCATCCGCCTGCCCAACCCAGACACTGACCTCTACTGGTTCACCTTGTACCAGTTTTTCCTGGCCTTTGCCTTGCCCTTTGTGGTCATCACGGCTGCATATGTGAGGATCCTGCAGCGCATGACTTCCTCCGTGGCTCCTGCCTCTCAACGCAGCATCCGGCTGCGGACAAAGAGGGTGACCCGCACAGCCATTGCCATCTGCCTGGTCTTCTTTGTATGCTGGGCGCCCTACTACGTGCTCCAGCTGACCCAGTTGTCCATCAGCCGCCCAACGCTCACCTTTGTCTACCTGTACAATGCGGCCATCAGCTTGGGCTATGCCAATAGCTGCCTCAACCCCTTTGTGTACATCGTGCTCTGTGAGACGTTCCGCAAACGCTTGGTCCTGTCGGTGAAGCCTGCAGCCCAGGGGCAGCTTCGAGCCGTCAGCAATGATGAAAGGACAGAAAGCAAGGGTACCTGACACTTGCCCTGCCACCCTGGGCACTTCCAAGTCAGAATGCCACAGCAGACCACGGGGAGAGATGCTGATAAAAACACAAGACTGGTCTGGGAGAAGGCAGGGGGGATGGGTAGTGCCACCAAACACCTTCCACAGGGCCCACAAATTGCTGGGAAGGCTCCAAGCCAGGTTGGGGACTTCAAGCATCAGAAATTCCCTTGCGAGAGTGGGATGGAACTTTTGGGTTGTACAGAAACTGAGCAAGAAGAAAATTTGAGCTCTGTTTCGGCTAGCTCCCAAATATCTTTTTTCCCAAGAGAACAGGTTTGTTTAAAATCAGGCAGGGCGGGGTGTGAGCCGTGCCCCTGGCACAGCACAGGCCCTGGGGAGATGGGGAAGGGGGTGTGGCTCCCACGCCCTTCCCATCTCTCACTGGTAGGATGGTAGGCAGCTTTTCTCCCAAGCTGGAGGACGATGAGAAATGAAGCATGCCATCTCTCCCATGTTCCAGCATCCTGTGTCAATTTCCCTGTGTCTTTAGAGGATGCATGTTTATTATTTGGGGATGACAGGCTCTAAGCCCACAGAACTAAAAGCCCAATCTGCTAGGAGATCCAACTGAGAATGACAAGGCTAACTGGGGTAGGTGGGGATAGGGGTGTCTTGAAATTAAAACAAAAATAGGGAGGAACAAGGGGGCTGTTGCAGCTGTGGGCACATTGTCATTGTGGGGCACATTTGTCTATCGCCAGATCCAGGGTGAGCACCCATCAGTGTCCTGCTTGTGCAGGGATCATTTTGATGCCTGGTGTGTTGGCACCATCTTTTGTTGTGGTCCTTCCTCTTCAAAATAAAAACGAATAAAGGATAATCTCCACCCACATCTCTGGATGCTCCTATATAACTGCTTGGGGGTGGGGTGGGTGCCACCAAAGGAAAGACAGATCACTTGGCTTTGGAATCTAGACCTTGGTTCAGGCTACATTGTAGGAAGCAAAAAGCAGGGGATCTGCTTATCTAAACCCACAGGGAGGATTCAGTGACATAAATGGAATTACTGTGAATTCATATTGCAATTCTGCTGCTGGGCTTATTCTCAGAACTCAGCTTCCTGTCTCCTGCTCAAAAGCACTAGGTTGTCACCAGTGCTGGCCCCTCAGGCCCCACGTCCCACCACCACTTCCCCGCTGAATCACCGGTCACAGGGCTGGCTTCTCAGGGCCGCCTGAGCCTCCTTCTAGCAGCTGCTAAGAGCTGGAGCGAGCCATGTTGAGCAGGAAGATTACAGACGGGCCGCTGGGCGGCAGCCAAGGCTGCTGCTTCTCGGCTGCTTCTCGGAGAGCTGGGAGCCAACAGTCCTTCTCAAACCTCTCAGCAGATGTGGATGAGATAGAGGGAGGAAATTGTGAGCCTCTGAACCTCCAACTTGTCTGGATGTCTCCTTAAAGCAGGTGCACCAGCACGGACTCTTCTTGCCAGTTTTGTTTGTTGGCAGAGTTGCGGCAGGTAGCCTGTTTTACAAACATTTGGGCAGCTTCTTTGGGTCCCGGGAGCTCTTTTAATCATCATCATTAGCAGTAGAATATCTCAGCTTGGTTTCCACTCCATCCAACTTGTGGGAGCAAAGAAGCTGATGGTCCCTTTTCCCTACTCGCTAAAGGTGGGGTCTCTAGCTGCCAGAGGTAAACTTCAAATATATTTTAGATGCACATCCAACAAAAGAAAAAAGATTCCTCAGGGAGCCTTGAGGCACCTTCTATCCACTGGAGGTTCGCCTATGAAAGACTTGCCCCGGGTCTGTCTCCAACCTCTACCCCCAGGAATCTGGAGAGGAAATGGGTGAGGAGGCCTCTTCCAGGAAGTGGAAGTGACCAAGTCAATAGCACCGTAGGTGGGCAGACATTCTGCTGATGGCCCTGTAACTCCTAGGGAGGGCAACGCCCCTTCTGGCAGCTCCCAACCCCATATTGAAACCTTAAATGGTAGCAAAGTGGGTTCAGCCACAGAATAGTGAGTGGGTGATGATACAAACAGAACCGAGGGGAGAGGATTAGGGGAGAGATGAAGTCTGGGAGAAAAGGGGCAAGGAGACTATAATGGGGGGAGGGCATTGTCCCTAGCCTGATCCTGTGGTAAACTGGACACTCTTGAGGTGCCACTGGATAAGAAGCGTGTGTGGAAGGGAGGGGAGGGTGGGTGGTGGGTTGGTGTGCCATCTTTCTGACATCCTTGGTGGGAATGGAGTACTGGGTGTGAGGCTGGTGGGCAGTCTGAAGAATGAGTGGAATTTTCCTTTCCTCCTCATTCAGCCTGGGGCTCTGGATAGCAGGAACTTTGGGAAATCACACAGGCCACGGGGAGATCCAGCCAGAGAGATTACAAGGGGGTGAAGACCATGCAACTGATCTTGCTTCTTTCTCCCTCCTTCCTCTGACAAATACTGTCTTTCCCATGGGGCCTCCTCAAATCATCTCCCAAATCCAGTGAGTATTCATATACGGCTCCCTCATCTGTTTTCCAGAAAATGCTTCCTCTCCAACTGTGAGGATTATGTCCCTAAAATCCCCTGTGGTAGAAGGACTCCACAGCTGAGGGGTATGACCTCACAAACGAATGCATGGAAAACCTTGTACACACTGATATTCACTAGACTCGAGAAATAATGACAAGAGCACCAAGTAAAGGGACTAGCCATGATATGGTTTGTTTTATTTCTGTATCACCAGTTTGTTTGTTTGTTTGTTTTTATCCTCACCAGAGGACATTTTTGCATTTATCTTCAGACAGAGCAGGAGGGAGAGAGGGAGGAAGAGAGAGAGAGAGAAACATCAATGTGAGAGAGACACATTGACTGGCTGCCACCCACACGACCCCAATCGGGGCTGGGGACAAACTGCAACTGAGGTACATGCCCTTAGCGGGATCTGAACCCAGGAGTCTCTGGTCCACAGGCCGATGCTCTGAGAGCTGAGCCAAACCTGCCAGGGCCTGTATCACCAGTTTTAATTGTATTTGTTTTTATTGTAGTAAATATACATACAACTGAACTATACACTTAAAAATTGAATGTCCCGGCCGTTGTGGCTCGGTGGATTGAGCATTGTCCCTAGACTGAGAGGTCTCAGTTCGATTCTCGGTCAGGGCACATGCCTGGGTTGTGGGCTCGATCTCCAGTAGAGGGTGTGCAGGAGGCAGCCGATCCATGTTTCAATCTCTTTCTCCCTTCCTCTCTCTCTTAAAAACAAAACAGAACACTAAAAACATATTTTAAAAAATTGGATGGTAAATTTTATATTATGTGTATTTTACCACAATAAAAAATTATATATCACATAAAATTTACTATTTTAACAATTTTCAAGTGTACAATTTAGTGGCATTAAGTAATAATATACCACCAGGCAAGGTTTCAGTAATGAGAGTGGCATGGAAAACAGAATGGCAAAGGAGCAGGCAGGAAGGGTCAAGGAAGATTTAGAGGGCAGCAAGGAAGCCGGTGATTGCCGTTAAGGATTTTGCACAGGAAAGAATCTTTTACCTCGAATCTGATGAAAACTCTGGACACTCCCCCGTCCCAAATGCACATTTGCTCATGCACATGAAATATTGCAAATAAGTCTGAAGGGTTTATAACTTCCTCCCCAGGGGCCAGAGGAAGAACCCCTGGCAATGGAGCAATCCCTAGATGTGGAATCTAGGTGTCTGGCAGAGTCAGATATCAGACCCCAGATGGCTGTGGCCAAGTACGCAGGCATAATGCCCATCGTCAGAGCAGAAAGAGCCAGAGTCCCTGCCTTCCTGGAGCTTCCAGCCCCAGGGGGGAGTAAAACATTGATCAGATAATTCCAGAAATGAATGTGAAATCACAACTGGGACTCTACAAAGGAGAGGTGTGAGAGATGAGTGCCATGGGAGAGGGACGGAGCTGCCCCGGCAGGTCAGAGAAAGCTTGGCTAAAGTGACCTTTCATTCATCAAGCTGTGAAGGATAAAGAGGGAGGGGCCTTCCTGGCAGAGGAATGATCTGTGCAGGAGCCCAGTGTTTGAAGGTAGTTTAAGGGAATGCTAATGGATACCCCGACACGGGTGAACCAAGAGGATGTCTCAGCCGGACACATACTGTGTTCTCAGGTTCTTCTGAGCTCCATTTTGTAATGTGTAACAAGAAAGAAATCTGGTTGCAATTACAGGGTTGTAAAGACAGCCCAGGGCACACCAATTCTTTGCAAAAGGGAAAAACAAGAGAGTTTGGTTCATCCCAGTCTCTCCTGGATATCACTAGAGGGAAAAAAAAAAAAAAAGGCTGAAATTCCAAATGCCAGCTCGAGTACCAACACTTGGCAAAGCTCTGTCTTGTCAGGCAACAATTTTGAGCACAAACTACCCTATCCTGTCACCATACCATTGCTTGGCCCTCCCAGGTCAGCGCACCTTCCCCTGTTGCCAATCACCTGACATGAGCGCAAGGGCCTCACCCCCAAAGCCAGGTAAAATAAATAAATAAATAAATAACCTTTCTGAATAAACCGGGGACAAGAACTTCAAATGCTGCAGCACCTTTTAGATAAAGCATTTGCTCCCACGAAACATCAGCCTCACAGCCTTCTGCCATCTCTACCTCTTTGACCGTTCAGTAGGCCACTCCCTCTTTTTACTGACGCCCTTCAAATTCCTATCTCCCTTCCTGACCCCCAGTCCAGTATTTCCATCTGTCCACATGATAATTTTACCATCCCAGGTTCAATATGATGAAAACCACATTTTTATTTTCTTACCACTTACCACCCACACCAATTCGCTCTTCCAAATTCTCCAGTTTTCTCCAACACATTATGTCCTTTGCTCTTTTTTTCACCTCCTATATGTTTCATTATAAAGTCCTATCAAGGCTTATATTAAATTATTTCACAGATTCATGACTTCCATCTGATTTTTAGACTCAGAGTCACCTGGGTTTATACCCCCATTATGGCCACTAACTTGCTGTGTGACCTTGGGCAAACTACTTAACCTCTCTGAGCTTTTTAAAAAGCTATAAAATGGAGGTAAAAATGTATTCCTTGCAGATTGTTGTGAGAATTGAAGCATATAGAGTGGCGCACTACTGTGAATGCAAAGGGACTATGCAATAAATCTGACAAGTTCGGGGGGCCACATGGCAGTCCTAACAAGCTCAGTGACCTAAAGTAACCACACAGGATAGTCTGATCATAAATTCCTGACTGGGCAGGTCATGGTGGGTAGTCA